AGCAGCTAAGGAAGATACATAAACAACCAATAAGCACATGAAAAGATGCTTGATATCATTAGTTATCAGGGAGATGTAATCAAAATTGCCTAGGAATGACCTAGGAATTCTACTCATATAGACTGAAGAAAAATGAAAACATATTTGTAAGAAATGTTCATAGCAGTACTGTTCACAATAGCCATACAGTGGTAAATATTGCAAATTTTCATCAAGTGATGAATGAATGAACAAATGTTATATATCTACACATTTTAATATTATTTAACCATAAAAAATGAAGGACTAGTACATGCTACAATGTAGATGAACTTTGAAAACATACTGAGTGAAAGAATCCAATCACAAAAGATCACATTTAGTAGGGAAATCTATAGAGACAGAAAGTAGATTAGTGGTTGCTTAGGGCTGGGTGGGGAAGAGGGGAATTATAGTTAAGGGTATAGGGTTTCTTTTTGAAGTGATAAAAATGTACTAAAATTGACTACTTTTTTTCAGGATTGCTTTGGCTATTTGTGGTTGTGGTTATATACAAATTATAGTGGTTTTTGGTTTAGAAATAAAACCAAAAAATAAATGAATAAATAGAATACCAGTGCCATTGGTATTTTGATAGGGATTACACTGAATCCATACTACCTGAAGGTAGTATGACCGTATTAACAATGTTAATTCTTCCAATGCATGACCACAGAATATCTTTCCATTTTTTGTGTCTTTAGTTTCTTTCAACAGTGTCTTCTAGTTTTCATTGTAAAGGTCTTTTATCTCCTTTGTTAAGTTTATTCTAGGTATTTTATTCTTTTTGTTGCCATTGTAAATGGGATTTTCTTCATTTCTTTTTCTGATATTTCATTGTTAGTATACAGAAATTCAACAGATTTTTGTATATTAATTTTGTATCCTGCAATTTTACTGTATTCATTTATTATTTCAAATAGTTTTTCTAGTGAAATGTTTATGGTTTTCTATATATAAAATTATTGTATCCACAAACAGTGACAACTCTATTTCTTTATTTCCAATTTGAATGCCTTTTCTTTCTTTCTTTTTTTTGCCTAATTGTTCTGGCCAGGACCTCCAGTATTATGCTGAATAAAAGTGTCAAGAGTAGGCAGCCTTGACTTTCTTCTGGTCTTAGAGGCAAAGCTTTAAGTTTAGTAATATCAAGTAGGATGGTAGCTGTGGATTTGTCTCATATGGCCTTTATTATATTGAGGTACTTTCCTTTCATGCCCATTTTTACTGAGGGTTTGATCATAAATGGATACTGTATCTTGTCAGATGCTTTTTTCTGCATCTTTTGTGATTATCATATGATTTTTATCAGTTTTTGTTAATCTAGTATATCAAGTTGATTGATTTGTAGATGTTGAACCATCCTGGTATCCCTGAAATGAATCCCACTTGTCTGTAGTGTATGATCCTTTTAATGTATTGTTGTATTCAATTTGCTAGTATTTTGTTGAGGATTTTTACATTGATGTTCATCAGAGATAGTGGCCTATAACTTTATTTTTTTATGTCTTTTTCTAGTTTTAGTATGAGGGTAATATTGGCTTTTAAAATGAGTTAGGAAGCATTCCCTCATCTTCAATTCTTTGGAAGAGTGTGAGAAGGATAGGCATTACATCTTTGAATTGAAATTTACCAGTGAAACCATCTGGTCCTCGACTTTTGTTTTTTGGAAGTTTTTGGTGTTTCAATATCCTTTATTCAGGTTTTCAAATTCTTCATGATTCAGTCTAAGAAGATTGTATGCCTCTAAGAATTTGTCCATTTCCTCTAGGCTGTTCAATATGGTAGCATATCACCTTTCATAGTATTCTTTTATAATCCACTGTATTTCTTTGGTATCTTATGCAACTTCTCTTTCATTTCTGATTTACTACAGAAGTATAGTAATAAAAACAGTATAGCATAATCTATGGGACATGGAAAAGCAGTCTTAACAGGGAAATTCATAGCATTACAGGCCTGTCTCAAGAAACAAGAAAAATCTCAAATAAACAATCCAATTTTGTATTTGAAGGAACTTGAAAAAGAACAACAAACAAAGCCCAAAGTGAGTTGAAGGAAGGAAATAATGAAGAGCAGAGCACAAATAAATGAAATAGAGTCTAAACAGCAATACAAAAACTAATTAGTCTAATTGCTGATTATTTGAAAAGATAAACAAGATTAACAAACCTATAACCAGACTCATCAAGAAAAGAGAGAGGAGATCCAGATAAATAAAATCAGAAATTAAAGAGAAGTAACAACCGACATTACAGAAATACAAAGAATTGTAAGAAAATATTACAAACAACTATATGCCTAAAGTTGGACAATCTGAAAGAAATAGATAGATTCCTAGAAACACACAATCTTCCAAAACTAAATCAGGAAGAACCAGATAATTTGAATAGACAGATTACAGTTAGTGAAATTGAAACAAAATAGAGAAAGACTCATAGATAGAGAATAGGTGTGTGTGGAGGGATTGCGCAAAACAGAGAATAAACTCATGGACATGGACAACAGTGTGGTGATTACCAGGGGATGTAGAGTGAGGGCAGATGGAGGAGGGTTTAGGGGGAATAAATGATGAAGGACAGAGACTTGACATGGGGTGATGAATACACAATACAATATACAAATGATGTAGAATTGTGCATCTGAAACCTGTATAATTTAGCCTGTATAATTTTGTTAACCATTGTTACCCCTAAGAAATTTAATAAAAAGGAAAAATAATTTGGAGTTAAAGTACCGTAAATATAACAATGTAAATACTGTATGTGTATGAATACATAATTTATACTTTAATTATTTACACTTAACTCATATCCTGCATTTGAAGTATTTTTTTTCTGATCAAACCTGGATTTGTCCATAGACAGATTGACATTCTATTTTAGCATTAAAACATATTTAAAAGTAATTTTAGAGATTTTACAAAAATATGCCTTTCTCTGATATTATAGTTGAAAAATGTAAAGACTAAAAGAAAAGGATTCAATACTAGATTCTTAGGGTACAGAAATTCATAAGCACACATATAAACATATTTCATCAACATGTACTGCTTTATAATATTTCACTGAATTAGCCTCTCCAGAAAAATGACTCAGTCCAATTACTTCTCAGTCTACTCTTGTGGTAGTATTTGTCTTTTTTTTTTTCACAGTTTTTATTGTTGTTCAAGTACAGTTGTCTCCATTTCCCCCCATTACTCCCCCAAATCTTTTAAATTTGATTAACAGACAATGGTCTTTCCAGTCAATGACATTAATAATTTAAATCAGTGCCAAAGACTATGAGAGAATTTGATACTTTGAGTAAGATTTAGCTTCTCCCAGGCAAATAAGTACCAAGGCTTCAGAGTTTTTATGCCCACCAAATATGGATATTTTTCCATTGATTCAGAACTTACATTAGATTAAAACCCTTTTATTCCCATTCATTTAAACTTATACATTTAGGAAGAGACAGTTATGTTACAATGACATTGCATTTTAAGAAGCAGGCATGGAAAGTGTTATGTCAATATTACAGGTAAGAAAACAACCCAGAGAGATTGCCATTTCCCCAGTGTAGCCTGGCAATACAAGACTAAAACCAGAGCTAGATTCTTGGTTTTTAACTCCAAGCCCTGCCTCCCATTCCTTCTTGCTCCAGTATTTGGAGTTGGTGGCAGCACATGTTAAATGATTATAGTTATGTTTTGACCACATAGTTTGTGCTCATGAGTTGGCAGCACATTTCTCAGATAGTAGAATTCACAGTCAACAGTGTCATGCTCTCAAACACAGTACCATGCTCCATTTAAATGAGCCATATCTTGTCCTGCTGCTTTGTATAAACTGGATAAACCCATTAGCCATGTCATTGTAAGAAATAAAACTACTTTGAGTTGAGACTTCTTGAAACACTGAGATCTTTTGGCCCAAGGCAGATTGACTCTCAGTAACAGTGAGGTTCTCATTTCTTTAGCCATCTGCAGAATTTGGGACTAGAACTGAAAATTAAAGGAAAGTGAGCATTCTGTAGTCAGTATATAAATGTAAAAGATCCTGCACATAAAGAAGAACTCACTGAGAAATTTATTATTCAGCCCCTTCTGTTTGTGTACCTATTATTGGTATATGTTGAGATCAAGAAAAAATATCAGACATTGTCACTCTTGAATGTGCAGAAACTTATAAGCCAATTGAGGAAACAAAACACACCATGTAAAGTACTCTATATGTTCAGGCAGAGCAACATGGGGTCAGGAAGGTGTTTTAGTTTGAGTTGACTCTGAAGCAGACCCAAGACAAGGATTTGACTCCATTTATTTTTGGTAGAATGTGTAAGGAACATGGGAGAAGGGAAAGGAAACGGAAGGGGAGGCAGCCAATAAAGGGAGCATTATTAGACAGCATCACCATGGGTGACTAGAAAGTAATCTATGAGAAAATACTGGTAAAGGGTATAGAACATACACCTCACAGTTATTTTACTCAGAGGGTGGGGAAACTAAGGTAGTTACATTCCAGCTCTTATCAGGGCTATAATTGGAGTAATGAGGGCTCTTCCAGAACTGTCCAGCACCTTGCCAGAGCAGTCTTCTACAGCCCTAGAAAATGCCCTCAGGCACGGTGTGCAGAAACTGACAGATGGAAGTCAGCCTGTGCACATAAAACAGAAGGGTCCAAGGAATATGGATAGTGGACTGACAGAGTGTCTGCCATAGTATGATTCTCTTTAAAAAATTGATTTTAGAGACAGAGGGAGAGGGAGAGGAGAAGAGAGAGAGAGGGAGGGAGAGAGAGAGAGAGAAACATCCATTTGTTGTTCCACTGATTTATGCATTCATTGGTTCATTCTTGTATGTGCCCTCACCTGCATTCGACCCACAACCTTGGCATATTGGGATGACACTCTAACCAACTGAACTATCTGACCAGAGCTTGTCATAGTAGGGTTCTTGGTGGAGGTGAGAATTGACAGTGCTCTTTCTCATCTCTCCCCAGGTGTTTGCATGTTGCTGTCCTTGTTGTCCATTGTGTATGGAGCCTTGCGCTGCAACATCCTAGCCATCAAGATCAAGTATGATGAATACGATGTCAAAGTGAAGCCTCTGGCCTATGTCTGCATCTTCCTCTGGAGGAGCTTTGAGATTGCTACTCGAGTCATTGTCCTCGTCCTCTTTACCTCCGTCCTGAAGGCCTGGGTGGTGCTCGTCATATTCATCAACTTCTTTAGCTTCTTCTTGTACCCCTGGATCCTCTTCTGGTGCAGTGGCTCCCCATTCCCTGAGAACATTGAGAAGGCCCTCAGTCGAGTGGGCACCACCATCGTCCTGTGTTTCCTCACCTTCCTTTATGCCGGTATCAACATGTTCTGCTGGTCAGCTGTGCAGCTAAAAATCAACAGCCCCGACCTCATCAGCAAGTCCCAGAACTGGTACCGGCTACTGGTATACTACATACTGAGATTCATTGAGAATGCCTTTCTTCTCCTTATGTGGTATATATTCAAGACTGACATCTATATGTATGTGTGTGCACCTCTGTTGATTTTGAAGTTGCTCATTGGGTACTGCACAGCCATTCTATTCATGCTGATATTCTATCAGTTCTTCCACCCTTGCAAAAAGCTCTTTTCCTCCAGTGTTTCTGAAAGTTTTCAGCGGTGGTTAAAGTGCGTTTGCTGTCAGTGCCCGTGGCAGAAATCCTCAACATCTGTAGGAAAGACAGATGTAAGGTCATCTGGAGACAGAGATGAGACACCTTCTAGCAGTAAAATAAGTTCTATGCCCAGCCAGATCTTGAATGCTGATGAGCTCTGCTCTGCTTAATGGAACTTGAGTCTCTTGGGGCAGAAACTGTTTTCTGAGTTCATTGCTGCTCACGATACAAGTGATGAGTCCTGCACAGGTAACAAAGCAGGAAGCTAGTTTCAACTCCTTGGGAGTTGCTTCCCTTTAGAGAGCTCTTGGGTGTGTGGGAACATGGAGAGAAGCCAGGGAAACATCTGAGTGTTAGAGGAGCAGTTTAAGTCACCACCATTCACAATTGACCGTGTTCTCCCAGGTGTTACTGGCCTTTCCACTGACAAAGTACCCATGATATCTGACTTGAGCTGGTTAGATCTATCAGGTAGAATGAGGACAGTGGCTTTCTTGTTTTCTAGTTTTCTGGATTTCTGATCTGAGTAGACTAATATTGTATTATCCCTAAGCATAGTTTTCACCCAAGAGCTGGCCTGGTGATCAGAGAAGTTTACTGGAGTTTTGCCATTGGCAACATCACTACTGTCAGAGCTTTCAGAGAGAGCTGTTCAAGTTTGGTTTTTGAATAGGGAGGTGTTCCATTTTCATCTCATTAGGGCTCTCTTTATATAATCAACTGTAGGCATCTTGGCTTACTGTATGTAGTAGATTTAAAAGTCTAGATTTGGAGACTTTGTACCCAAAGATGCAGGGATACAAAATTGAATTCTAAATTTGGTTATGGGAGCCCTACAATTTTAGGAAAGTTGTGTGTTCCTTCAGTATGTTGAAGAAGTTCTGGAACAAGAGGATCGTTAAAAAAATCAAAATCATGTAGGCTTTTGTAAGCAGAATTCTTAAGTTCTTTGGAAGGTTGAAAATGTGAAGCTTACACTTTTTCAAGGTTCAGTCCTGTCCTGCAGTTCTGGAAAATTTCTAGTACAATTTGCTAAGATTTACCTTCTTAATAAAGAAGAAAATAAAACCCGTAGTGTTTACTGTGCTTCATCCTTGCCTGTTAGGAAAGTTGCAGATAATAGTTACTTTGGTTAAGTTAAAAAAAAAGTTACTTTGGTTAACTTAAGTTTTTTTCTAGAAAACTCCACAGAAATATTTCACCTAGTGTGGGTATAAAAGACATTTCATTTTTTATTAGTTGAAGGAAAAAGGTTTATCTTCTCCCACCAAGTGAGATATTGCCCTCAGAAACTTTTAAATTATAGAAAGTGATTAAATGACTAGAAGATACTTGTCTTTAACTGAATGCATTTTGATTTGGTTTGACTATGAGTTAATTTATACAAGATCTCCAATTTTATTCTTCTATATCCTTCTATCTTCAGTATACTTTCTGAACCCTATTTGTTTCATAAAAGGATTGCATAGCATATCCTCAATAGTCTTGGAAAAATGCCTGGATTTAGTGCCATTATTTCTACCATAAGCATCTTGATAATGAAATACCTAGAAGCAGGTGACCTGTCACCAACTAGGCTGGACATTGCATGTCAGTCGGTGTTGAAAGTCTAAATACTTGGCTGAACTTTCTGGCCCATCCAGTTTCTAACAGCTAGTCTATGAGAGGACAGGTTAAAAATGGTGAGTTTGAGCAGTAGTAGTAGTCAGAATTAGACAGGAATGGAAAGAGTGGTACTTCCCAGCCTTGGTTTGGAAGCCTGTTTCAAGAACCATTATAAAATCTGAGTATTAAAATACACTTTAAATTATTTTAATGTAGAAAATAGGTAAGCATTTTGAGTGACCTCATATCAGACTAACATTGATGACCTGTCAGATTCCTAAAGCCCAATTATAAGCCAGTTACATAAGGGCAAAGAGATTTGGTAACTAAATTGGACATTTTGTCATCTTTAACCCTTGATCTACAGATACCTTTGCTTTGGGGCCATGTGTGTCCATTCACTCTGGAAGAGACAAAACACTGCTTTTTTTCTGCGTGGTGAAAATTTAAGTCATGGTTCATTAAGAATTTTTATTTTAAAAATTTTAAAATTATATCTCTGAAATAGTAAAACTATAGTACAGACTGCAGATCTAGGTTGCCCTAAAGACAAACAAACCAGCAAATTCCCTTACATGTTGAGAGTTAAAATGTGGCTTTCAGTTAGAATTTTAATTTTTAAAACTCTTAGAACTTTGTCTAATTAATTATATGCCATAACGTGTCATAACACCTGCTCTAATTGAATTATTACCTTGGCTCAATGGAAGTCAAATATTTTCTTAAAATATATTGAAATAAGATCATCAGACATGTTTAGACTTTCTCTCTTCATTATTGGAGGCAGTGTACTATAGAGATTGGCATCTCCCTGTCAAGCCCTACAAGTTAGTTAACAGCCATATGCCTCAGTTTCCCCACCCACCAAATTTGGATGATATATATATATATGTACTTGCCTACCTCACAAGGTTGTCAGGAAGATCAAATTAAATTATAGTGTGAAAATGCTTTGAAAATATTTTTCAAGTGCCATATGTGTTGAAGAAGTTATTATAGTTAGTTATTCAAATTGATAAACAGGTTATTATTACTATTTTACTGTTAGAAAAGAAACAAGTAGGATCATCCACATAAGTGTCTTGAGTAAATACATTGGCCTTTGGCCTTATGGAAGGGCAAATGTAAGTTGTCTTTACTCTTGGAGAAAACTCAACCTTTGCCCTTCTCTTAACGTTACTTGCTTACAAAAATTTGCACTGAAACACACAGCTCTTGGAGGGAAAAGACCCACTGCAGTCTGAGAACTTGCTTTCGATGGCAGATGAGTTTATAATTTTTGTATCTATCATCTTTCATAAAGGACATAGCAGCATGTTTTGGTCATTTACAACTCAAATGCCTAAGATCCTGCTAGACTTTTACTGAATGTGGGTTTAATCTTTTCAGCCTTGTAAATGAGAAAACAAACAAATTGATTGTCACGTGAAGCATTTTTTTGAAAACCACCTTGGAAATTACTGCTATGTTTATGAGTGTATGTGTCAGTACTTCTCAACCAGTAAATTGTGGATGTGAGTTTTTGCAGGCTGCTGTTCTACAGCCATTGATGCTAGTATTGTTTGTTTCTTTATATAATAAATTAATTTTTGAAATATTCCTTGCCTTTCATTCTTTATACAGTCCTTTTATGGCTTATTGACTTCAGAGACTGTTTTAAAAACAGAAATTTGAAAATGGTTTTTGCTATGATTAGTTATGGTTTTGTAACCACACCTGGAAATTCTTTCTGTAGGATGAGAAATTTGAGCTTCCTAGGATTCTGCCTTGTGAGAATAACAGTCCATGGGATCTCCTCTGATTGTTTTTATAAGCATTTACTCTGTTAAAGCTGCATTGCTGGATACCAAGATTCTGCTTAGCTGTCTGTTGATTACTGCAAGCAATACAACAGAAGAGAGGCAATATAAATCTCTTCTAGACAAATATAAATGGTATACTGATTCAGAAATATAAAATACCAAAGTGGTGACTTGATATTAACATAAACATATAATGAAATGTAAATATGATCCATGGTTAGAAAAAACATCATTTATCATTAAAGGGGTCACTTCAGAGTATGAGGTAGACATGAATTGTTTCACTAATTAATTTTCTTCTGAAGGTGGCCTTGCAATTTGGAAAGACTTAACTATAGGATAAGTCTTTTAAAGGAGAACTCTTGCTGTTAAATCAATCCCTTGAGAAAACCAAATGTCTACAAATATAGTATTTAAGTATGTTAAACTAAAATTACTTCATTTGGTATATGTAAATGTTTTATTTTGAAATAATTTCAAGCTAATTAATAGAAAATCCTTGAGAATACTGCAAGGAATTCCTTTATATCCTTCACCCAGATTCACCTATTAACATTTTGCTATATTTCCTTTATCTTCCTCATTTAAGAAAATGAGACCCCTCTTTCCCTAAAATACTTCAGTGTGCATTTCCTAACAACAAAGTCATCCTGCTACATAGCCACAATACAGTGATCAAATTCAGGAAATTTAACATGGGTACAATATTAGTATCTAATCTAGAGTCCATATTCTGTTTAATAATTGTGCCTTCACTTCATTTGTTTTCACAAAACTTTCTCAACAAAGAAAATCTAGTCAGCTCTCTTCTATGAGGTTCTTTTTGTTTAAATTTATCAGTAAGTTTTTAAAATTATATTTTATTAATTATGCTATTACAGTTGTCCTGATTTTCCCCCCTTTCTCCACCTCTACACAGCACCTTCCACTCCCTCAGGCAATCCCCCCACCATTGTTCATGTCCATGGGTCATGCGTATAAGTTATTTGACTACTCCATTTCCTCTGCTTTATGTCCCCATGATTATTCTGTAACCACCTATCTGTACTTATCCTCCCACCTCTTCACCCATTCTCCCACATTGCCCTCCCATCTGGCAACCATCAAAATGCTCTCCATATCCATGATTCTGTCTCTGTTCTTGTTTGCTTAGTTTGCTTTTTAGCTTCAGTTGTTGATATATATATGTATTTATTGCCATTTTATTGTTCATAGTTTTGATCATCTTTTTCTTAAGTAAGTCCCTTTAACATTTCATATAATAATGGTTTGGTGATGTTGAACTTCTTTAGTTTTTTCTTGTCTAGGGAGTTCTTTATCTGCCCTTTGATCCTAAATGATATCTTTGCTGGATAGAGTCATCTTGGTTGTAGGTCCTTGCTTTTCATCACTTTGAATATTCTTTGCCAATCCCTCCTAGCATGCAAAGTTTCTTTTGAGAAATTGGCTGACAGTTTTATGGGAACTCCCCTGTAGGTAACTAACTACTTTTCTCTTGCTGCTTTTACCATTCTCTCTTTATCTTTAACCTTTGGCATTTTAATTGTGATGTGTCTTGGAGTAGGCCTCTTTGCATCCATCTTGTTCTGGATTGTCTATGCTTCCTGGACTTGTATGTGTATTTCCTTCACCAAATCAGGGAAGTTTTCTTTCATTATTTTTTCCAGTAAGTTTTCAAATTCTTACTCTTTCTCTTTCTCTTTCTGACACCCCTATGATGCGAATGTTGGACTGCTTGAAGTTGCCCCAGAGGCTCCTTACACTATCGTCATTTTTTTTTTAGATTCGTTTTTCTTCTTGCTGTTCTGGTTGGTTGTTTTTTGGTTCCTTGTGTTCCAAATCATTGATCTGATTCTTGGCTCCACCCACTCTACTGCTGATTCCCTGTAAATTGTTCTTTATTTCAATCAGTGTATCCTTCATTTCTGACTGGATCTTTTTTATGCTATTGAGGTACTAAGTTCCTTGAGCATCCTTAGAACTAGTGTTTTGAACTCTGCATCTGATAGATTGTTTATCTCCATTTCATTTAGCTCTTTCTCTGGAGTTTTGATCTTTTTTTTTTTTTTAATTTGGGCCATGTTTCTTTGTCTCCTTGTTTTGGCAGCCTCCCTGTTTGTTTCTGTGTTTTAGGTAGGGCTGCTTTGACTCTGTGTCTTGGTAATATGGCCTAATGTAGTAGGTGTCCTGTAGGGTCCAGTGGCACAGCTCCCCTCTCACCCAAGCTGAGTATTTGAGGTGTGCCCTCCATGTGGGCTGAGTATACCTTCCTTTTGTAGTTGAGCCTTGGTTGCTGTTGGCCGGTCAACGGGAAGGATTTACCCAGGCCCATCAGCTGCAAGGACTGGTTGTGACCTCTGACCACCAACTTCCAGCCTCCATGGAAGATCGGCTGTGCAGGGGACCCACTCCACAGAGCAGGGCTTACTTCAGCAGGGCTCTCATGCCTCCTTGTGTTCTGCCTGGGTCCAATTGGTATAAGCTATAAAGCAATCAGCAGCTGGCTGCTTCCTGTGCTAGTCTTGGAGGTGCTCTATTGAGGCCAGGCTGTGAACCAAGGTCAGCTTTTGCTAGTGCAGAGTGGCCTGGGGCCACTTAGCAAGGTACAGAGGTTTCTTTGAGAGGATTTTGAAAGACCAGAAGCATGTGCCAAGACAAGTTGTTCGTATGGAAAAGCTACTATTAACTGCTTCGGTGGGCTAGTAAGTGGGGTGGAGTGAAGTCTCAGGGAATCAATGGACAGGGAAAACATTGTGAGCCGGGTTCATTGTGTCTCAGATGTGGTGCCTATTGTACTCTGTAGCTCCATGGGGGATGGCTCAGAAGAGGAGCAATGGCTTCTGCCAGCAGTTTTGTCTTGGAGAAGGTTGTCCCCAAGCTCTCACCCTGATGCCAGACACTTCAGTTCCTCCCCATATGCCACTGGTGCCTTTCAAGCTGCTGCCCTGATGGTGGAATTTAGTGGGAGTGAGTCTGAGTAAGTGTGTATGTGGGTTCTTTAAGAGGAATGGTCTGGGAATTCAGTTTCTTCCACCGACTCAATCTGTACTGACTTTTATAGAAAGAAGCCATGGGGACTTCTCTCCCTGGAACTGGAGCCCTGGGCTGGGGACCCTGGTATAGGGCTGGGATTCCCTCACTCCCAAGATATCCCCCTTGATTTTATCCACCACACATGGTTGTGGACTAGCCTGTTCCACGTCTCCTACCAGTCTGGATGGATGTGATTTATTTAATTCCATGGTTGCAGGACCTCCATTCAACTCAGTTTCTGCTAGTTCTGAGTGATGGTTGTTCTAGAGTTTAGTTGTAATTTTGATGTGGTTGTGTGAGGAGGTAAGTCGTGTTTCCTTACACCACCATCTTAGAGATCTATCTTTTATATTATTTTTTATTAATTTCATGTTGGAGAAATTGGCAGTAGCATTCAAGCTTCTATAGCTAGTAGATTGTGACACTAAGATTAAAATGTTTGTCTGCAGTCTGATTCCAGAGTCTAAGCAGTTAGAAATGAACAAAGTTACCAGTAAGTTTTAATTTGCCTATAAATGCTAGGGAAACTACAGCAGGCTTTGAAAAGCTATTTGAAGAAAACATACACATGTTATCAGCACTGACCAATAGTTTAAAATCATAAATTTGGAATGTTTACTGGTGAACTATAGGTAATTCTTTTTCATTTTAGGCTTCAAGTGTCCACTGCTTAATATATGAGCCTTTAGTTTTCTCACCATCCCCACCCCAATGTTTTACAGAGTTTGGGCTCAAGTTTGTAAAGATTAAGAAGAAGATAAGGAAAGTATATATTACTCCTCTATGGTCATATTTCTCTGGGTCCCTTTCTCCAGGAGACTATATTCTCTATGAACATTTTTGCAAATGGGAAAGCTCAGAAATGTCAACTATATACTGTAATTAAATGAGTAATATTTTGAGGCTTTTCTCTTTTTCAGGAAAAAACACTTCATAGAAGCAGAGATTTGTGCAGAGCTGGGAAATTCAGAAATATCCTAATCCCTCCTTTCCCAGTACACAACACACCCTGTCAGACTAGGCCCCTAACCTGCTAAGAAGGTGTGTCTGCCTCAGAAGCCTGCGGTGGGGAATTCCTCACTCCTCCTTCTCAACCTCTCTGTGTGTGGTTTTCTCTGGAAGTCATTAGGCCAAGGGAGTCTAAAACTGTTGGTTTAAGCTGATTTTGTAACCTAGAACAGTATTCAGCTCTATCTCTTTGTAGCAGGTTATCAGGATTTCCCACCCAGAATCCATAGAAGCATATACTTTCCTGTGAGGAGATTACAGGGTTTGCCTCCTCCCAAGGAGAGTTTCATCCAGACAGATTTTTGAGTTTTTGCCTGTAATTCTGCTCCCTCCCTATCTCCCATCCTAAATTAATTCTTTCTCTCTGAATGATGAGTTCCTGATTGAAGCCTGATTAGCCTGCTCCCTAGAGCCCTGGGAATATCATCCTCTATAGACATTTGCATTACATGTACTGGTCTAATTTCTTGCCAGTTGGCTTCCTATTTTAATTACCTAAATTCTACAGTTAATGAGTCAGGTTTTCAGGAGCAATAGCACTCAAGAAACAAAACAGAATTTAGAAATTCAGTTTTTGAGTAGTTCTGTAAGATCATTCCCACCACCACCCAGTGGAGAAGAAAATGGTTCCCTGGCATCACTTCCTAACAAGGTGACCTCCTTAAGTGGAGTGGCAAAATTTTTTATAACAATGATGTCCAGCTATAGGGCTGCAGGCCTCCAAGAACTGGAAAAGCATCATGGTCCTCTCCAC